ACACATCTGAGAAGCACAGCTCACCTCCCTGCACACAGCCCAGCAGGACATGAGAGCTGCTCTCAGCAGCAAGGCTCTTGTCTTTTATATTTTCATCCCCTTCGAGCTTATCTGTTCACACACTTGCTGTCAGACACAGCACACAATGCTGCCAGCAATTTGCCTCTTAAAAAATAATGCCTTCTGCAAATTAAAAGMTCTTCATCCCATAATTATTGCTTCCACAATCAACATATTTGAAGAACCAAAACRTCCTTCAAGCAAATGCCTGCTTGAAGTACAGAGTCAGAAAATAAACCAAAATAAATCCAAGGAGCTTACTGAGGGTGACTGTGTCGTTGATCCTGAAGCTGCAGAGCACTCGGTCAACATTGCGGGCATGGCGAAAGCCATTTCCTCTCACCACAACCTGGAAGGACTCTGCAAAAACAGACATTGGATTATTGACACACGGCACGGCAGGGAATGGTCCTTTACACCAGGTTCACCTCACGGGTTTTCAATTACTAAAATTGGCAGTRTAACCATTAAGTTTAAAAACTGTTAAAAATGTAATTTCCACGGTCTCCSTATCCAATTTCAACTTGGATGTTTAAAAACAGGAAACAATTCACCACAGAAACATTTTAACTGGCCTGAAGAGGAAACATGAAGCTTCAAGGACACCGAGCTTTCCTCTCTCCAAGTGTCCATTTTGAATGGCAAAAAGATTTGGGTGAAGGAAGGCTGAAATATCTTTCCATGGAAGGGCAAAAAACCTAGTGACAGTTAATTTCGAGAAGTTTAAGTGTTCCTTCCCCAGGTAAMTGCACAATTGTGTAATTTTGTCACATCCTGCCCTCCTTCACAACAACCAGAGTCCTGGACTGGACTCATTTCTGTTCAATGACAGGATTTTATCAACAGATGTGCTTTTTAGCTGGGCAAAGGCTGTGATCTCAGGGGGTTTGCCCAGGTCTCCTCCTTGGCTGTTTTCCCAGATCAGATCCACGGGCTCCCTGCAGGGAACACCAGATCCCCAGCAAGGTGCAGAGCAGGRCTGAGGTCACTTCCTCACCAGCCTTACACCACTCACTACTGTCCCTTGATATTCCAGTTACTTCAGCCTGGTACTGGGAAAGGTTTCTGCACTTCCTGCAGCCCCAGCACTGCCTTGTGAGGAAAGCACCACTTGCAGACTTTGAGACTTTGAACTAGAGCCACAGCCCCAAACAGTCCTGGAGCACCCTCAGGGGCTGCAGCTCTGCTGTCTTAGGCTCCATGGAAGGTGTAACCAAACCAGTCTGTATTCTATCACCATCTACATGAGCTGTTAAACCACAGAGCTCTTTATTGTCATGGGGCAGAGCTCTTTATCCTCACCATGACCCAGCCCTGATAACACCCTCTGGGGCCATCTCTGCTCATGGGCCATTGAGGGCTCTGGGAATGACCCCTGGAATTCCATCATCCCATTGGGAGATGCCCCACAAAGAGGAGGAACTGGACATCCCTACTGGCACAGAAACTGAGGCTCTGGGACACTGGGACACTTCTCCCACTGCATTCCCAGAGGAGAGGAGCTCCAGAACCACCCCTGGACCTGCAGAGATGGACTCGACCTGTGTGCAGGATCAGTGCTTGGATGAGAGCACATCCATCACTGCAACGGGGCTGCAGCACCATTGAACATTGAATATTGAACACTGAATATTGAACATCCATCAGTGCAACAGGGCTGCAGCACCATTGAACATTGAACAGAGCACATCCATCACTGCAACGGGGCTGCAGCACCACTGAACATTGAACATTGAACATTGAACAGAGCACATCCATCACCCCAACAGTACTGCAGCCACCACCCTGCCCAACAGGATATCAGGTTGTATTCTCCATTCCGAGGAAGGTTCACACTTTCCTTGACAGACACAGGTCTTTCAAACCAAGACACCTGCTGCTGCTCAGGGCAAAGGAAGCAGTCCCCACAATTCCTGTGACTTCCTGGGACAGGCACTCAGCTCATCCCACTGAAGACTGCCTGGGGAATGGGATTTGAACAYGAGCTGTTTTGCTGTCCAAGACAACTCAGGAGTAACCTCAGTGCATCAGGGACACCACCCTGGATTTAAAACCCCAAGGAACAACAGGGAACCTCGTTTTTGCAGGTTCAGATTTTCCCTCTTGCATTTTACAGTCCCCATCTTCTTTCATCTCCCTTAAGGACCTGCGCACTGTACTTGTCAAGAAAAGCAGATTTGCTCTGGAATCTGGGCTCCTTTCCAGGTCCCACTCGTTTACAGCCAAGTTGCAAATCATCCCAGCGCATTCAGGGAAGCTGCTCCAAGCCCATTGTGTGCTGTGAGAGAGCATTTGGGAAGAGCAAGGGAACAAGAGCTCTGTTCTGGTGAATATTTAAGAGGAATCACAGCAGTCTCAAGCACTGAGGGATGAGAGTTCAAGTACAAACAAAGCACATCGGTGATGTCAGCTGGAGCATGGAACCCTGGCCCTGCTTGTGGCTGAACTGAGCCATCCAGTGCCCCCTACACAGTCAAATCACCCAGAAACTGCCACTCCAGAATGAGGTCACTGCTGAAATTCATCACTGCAGTATCTTGGACAGGTTAGCAGTGGCAGAGCAGCCTCAGGTAACACAGAGCCCTTAGGTTTGCTGCTTGCAAACAAGAAAAATAAGGAACAAACTGCTGCTGTCCCTCAAGGATGTGCACAGAAACATGAAAACATGAGGTATCAGAGCTACACCTGCAAACATTTATTTTAAAGGCACAATGCACATAATTTGCATAGTCAATGGCACTTTCATTGGTCTCAAAGCCCTGAGTGATTAAATTACGTTCAGTCCAAGAGCAATGGGCTCTTTGCCCAAACTTGGAGACAAAGCCTGGAACTGAGGAYCTAAATAACTACTGGCATCTTCCAAGGATTGCTCCTTTTGTGAAGTACTGACCAAATTSTGATGCAAACAGTTTATACAAACCCTCTGCATTTCCTCTCAGCTGTTCTGGGCACAGCTGCTCCTACCCCTGTCTTCCCATTAAGGCACAATGAATGGGAGTGATAAGATCAAAGCACTTAGAAAGTAGTAAAGATAATTATAAACGATGATTGTAAGTCATCTTATAGAAAGCGGTAAAGATGGTAATAAAAGATTGTAAGTCATCTTCTGGCTCATAAGATTCTATAAGCATCTTTGTATATCACTTGAATAAGTATGYAAACATATCTTTTAAATTATCTCTRTGTGKGTAAGGYGGATGTGAATGTTCATGCAATTAACATTTGCATTTATGGAACATCACTGCACCACTGCAGGGACTGTYACAACCATCACCCACCATGCTAAGGCAGATGGAGCCCTGCCTTGGAGCCTTTGTTAACACAGATCTATTTAACTGGCCAGCCAAAAGGACCATAATTCAGTTATGCCATCCTGGCTTTGAACTCCAAAACGACATCTGGAACATAAAGCTGATGCTGGGGGCTTATTGAGCATTGAGCGTGGTCATGGATGTGCTGGGAAATACATGACTACCTGTAGATGTTTGGGTGTGCAGGGGCAGGAGATGCCGGAAGGGTGATTAAAGCAGCTGCTTTGGAAGCAAGGACAAATCAGAAAAGATAACTGGGCTGCTTCTTGGGGCTGCTGAGTTAAGATAAAGGAAGATGCAGAACTTGGCAGGGACTTGTCCTTCTCTACAAACCTCCACAAACCTTCTGCTCCCAGCCTCTACTCAGTGAATTGCTACACATTCCACAAACAGCTGGGATGCCCTTCATGGAATGAGGTGACAGGATGGGAGAGGCTGGAAGGATTCTCCAGCCTGGTTTGAGACAGGCTGGGTCCTGCTGGTTGTGCCAGCACAGTCACACCAGAGCCAGGGCACAGGGGACAGGACCATTCACACCAGCCAGCAGTGATGGTTAAACTCAGTCCTCAGTCACTCAATCCTAAATGCCTGAGAAAGGTTCAAGCACTGTTAGAAGTCCTCAGATCCAAGTGGGCTYGTTTGTCTTTTGTGTTTGTTTCTGAAGCACTTCCCTCAACAATCCTCTAAGATGATGAATTTGTAAAACTCTAAACCTAATCACAAAGTCTTATTTCCTGATTTGGTTTGTAATTTTGCAGTGCATCTACTTCAAGTCTGGCCCAGCCTGAGAAAGACAAATTAGTTTGACAGAACAACATTTAAGCCAAACTTATGAATTCAGGCCTTTTCTGTAAGAAAATCCCATTCGACATCACTTGGCTGAAGTGGGAGATTTGCAAACTACCCTAAGGGGAAAAATAAGTTCACCAGAAGCAAAGGTGAAATATTTAGCCCCAGGTAATTAGTGAATTTTGCACTCTGCAGTCATTAGAGATGAACTGAAAATTGTATTTTAGGCAACATGAACAACCTTGGCCTCGTTCATACTTACCGCCTGCACAGATACTGGAAGGCTCTGCTGCCAGGATTTCTATACAGGATTTCTTCAAAATCTAGAAGAGACAAAATGTCATGAAGTACCTCAGTCTTGTTTCCATGGAGGTGCAGATCTGAAAGGTGAGGGAGTGCACTGTTCTCACATAAACATTTATTTATTCGTGGCACAATTATGGCCCTTAGCTTTTTACTCCAAACCACCCAAGCAGGTGTCACTTGCCTCCTGGAGCTGTTGCTGGGTTGGAAAGGGAGGGATGCCAAGCTCTCCATATGCCAGGGCAATCTTGCCTTTGTGCCCAGTGCAAAGGGATTCTGCACCCCATGATCTGCAACCCCACAGAGCACTCAGAAGGGTTGGGAGGCAACGCCATCACCCTCCCTTTGCACTCACACCTCCCTAACCAAAGTTATTCTGCAACCAAAACTCCAAATAAAACATCACAAGTTTAATCTAAACTGTTTAGCTTTGCACTAAAATATCCCAGAAATGCCTGCAGAGCCACTTCCCAAKTCTCAGCAGAGGGGCTGTAACTTATGTTTTTAACCTGATTTATGCAAGCACAACCGGAGGGCACCCCCAAAACTGCTCTGTGATTTCACACCAAATACACAGAGAATTCTCGAATGCAGCAGAGTGTGTTTGGCAGGGCTGTCCCTGGCTTTGACCACTTGGTGTGCAAGGATTGACACAAAGACTGCGTCAGGCTTGGCTGAGCTCTTGCCAAGCACGAGGAGAGGCTGGGGCTGGACATGGTTTATTCCACATGGGGTTAAACMTCCTCAAGCATTTCCTTGCTTGAATAAAAGCCTCTGCCATTCTCTGCAGASCAACTCCAGCTCCTGAGTGCATGGGCAGTGCCTGTGCCCCCATAGAGCAGCACTGAGAGCCTGGGGGGCTCAGCCCCAGCCCCTGCATGAGGCGACTCTGAGCAAAATTCAGGTCAGCTCCAAGAGGCAAGTAAATGTCAGCCAAGCATCATGACTCAAATCCAGCATGAAAACTATTTTCCCAACTTTAAATTAAAACATCTGTAAGGGTAGAACTGCAACCAATGCAATAAATTCTGTCAGAAAAAGATAACATTTTTCTTTTTTTTTTTTTTTTTTCACAGCCATAGCTCCCTACCTCAAATACCTAATTGCAAAAGCTACATATACAGCCAAGCTTTGTTTTTTAAAACTTTTAAACAGAAGTTYGAGTTACTGAGAAAACAGGGCTGCAAGTACCAAGGGACTGAAGRAGGCAGGATGGTCTGAGCTGGTGGCAGCCTGACAGGTGAGGAGAGAGAAGGTTTGCAGGAAGAAGGTTTTACAGGAACTGTCAAGTGGAAAAAAAAGAGAAAGTCAACAGGTGAGAAYAGAACAGAGAAGCACTAGAAGAATTTAAAAGACAGATTAAGGAAAAACACAAAGAATGTAAAAGGRTATCAATACTTTTCTTTTTTCAATGAAGTAAACCCTCACATGGTTAAGTTTTAAATTCTCAACTTCTATTCAGCTATTGCAAACATTCTTGCTGTAAGCCATCTCGGATGGGTAGAATAGCAGGTGTCTCAATTAGATGATGCAGATCTCCCAGTCCAGTCTAATCCCTTTACATCAATATAAAAAACTGGCCTTAGACATTTTTACAGTGCCAATTGCAATATTTATTTTGATTTAGATTAAGTTTCCAGYGCTCCAAGTGCACACCCTGACTTAAAGTGAACATCAGGCAGAAGTATTGCAAAAAAATTCCTTTATGTCCCTTCCTGATTAAAAAATACATTCAAAAAATGATTCATCATCTTCACTGTAGAAGATTTCATTAGATCTCTTATTTTCTAAGACGTCCCATTGGGCTGGRGGTGCATCCTCCCCCTGTGGTTCCCAGGCCAGCAGATGCCATGGGAGGGTGGTGATGCAGGGTCCTACACTGCTCTGACAGCAGCCAGGGGACCGTGGCTCTCCATCCCCATCTCCCCAGGAGAGCCCCCAGCCCTGTCCCAGTGCTCCCTGGACTCTCCCTGCAGGGCTGAGCACCCTCCCAGGGCAGTGTTTGCAGCAGAGCAGAGCTCCCCTGGGTGGGGAGGGGTCCCCATGGCCCYRGCAGTGCCACTCCATGACCCAGCTCAGATCCCAAACCAGGCTCCTCTGTGCTTCTGGGGCTCCAGGCAGGGGGACACAGACTCTGCAGGGGGCTCTTGTTCATATATGCTGAYGTGCCTGATGAAAAATGGAACACATCCCTGTGGGAGTGGATTTTAGCACTACCTGGGACTAATTTACCTCTCTGCCAGGCGAGGCACTAAGGGCCAGGAGAGGCCCARCAGATCACTGGGTCCTTCTGGAAACAAAGGGAAGAAGGGGAGTGAAATTCTGCAGCTGCTGGAAGCTTTCCCTTGATATTCTACTCCATAAGCACAMAGCCAGATTATTTCACCACAGCAGCTGCATATTTCTTATACATTCTTTTCACCAAATTTGGGAATTCTAATTGGCAAACAGGATGCTGAAGTGTAGTAGAAGGTTACTGCCTAATTAGTGTTAGTGGGAATGACCTGGAGTCTGATGCCAGGTGCTCATTAGCAAGCTCTGTTCAATTACTGAATGCCAAAATCTGTTCCCAATTACAAAACAGCCATTTATTTATGAAGTGCTTCCTGTCCAATAATATCTACATGAGCTAAGCAAAATAAATACATTTAAGTCCTTTTTAAAGATACATTTGGGAGGAGAAAGAAGTAGAAAGCTGATCATATACCATTAAAACTAACAAGGAACACTGTGCAGCAAAGGCTGGGGGTTATCAGCTGACAATGTTCTGTGTCCATTATAGACTTTGCACTTASAGGACATGTCTGGAATGAACATTCTCTCATCTCTCTCCCCATTCAGGGGGTCTCAGACCCACCCCTGCACAAGGGAATCTGCAATTTCTCATCTGCCAGTGAAGTTTGAACGTTCAGCTCTGGATGGGCACACAAAGCCATCACCACATTGCTCACACTGTCTCACTGATGCTCACAACGAGTTCTTTCCAAAGTGCCCAAGCTGAACATACCCAGCACTGCAGTTTGCCCCAGGAAATATTTGCGTAACAATATTCAGTGCAATTCCAAGCTAAAATTTCCTGGGGTGAAGGAGCACCTTGAACTGTTACCTCAATTCTGAAATGCTGCATCAATCCTAGAACCTGGAAAATACTGAGAGTGGCTGAACACTGATACAAGAGGATCCAAAAGGAGCACACAGAAATTAAACTTAAAAGGATGAACAATTTGTGTGATTTATACAGATAGGAGACAGTCCACAGACTGCTTGTGCTGCTTCCTTTCTTGTCCATCACAACTGCTTCCTGAGGCTTCCTGCAGCTCTCTCAGAGCTCTTGCTAAGGGACCATGATTGCAGCTCGAAGTTCCAAGCTGGTGCCATGGTTTAACACGTGGCAAGGATCAGGGAGTTTTCCTGTTCCAAGCACTGCTCCTCAGCCAGCTCCTGTTACAGGCTCAAAGTGATGACAGGATCCCATCCCAACTTTTCACCTTGCTTCACGTTCCTTGCCTCCAGCACCCCTACCAAAGCCACACTGGGCAGGAGATGAAGTTGAATTTCAGGTTTGCTTCTAAGACTTGCTTAATTTGCTTTAAATTGACAGAAATTTGCAGAAGTTTTTCACAGCAAAGGGAAATTAAATAAAATAATTTTGTTCCTTCCATTAGTTTCCCAGCCTGCAGCAAACAGTCAAATCTGCTTTTCCTCCAGACCGTTCCCTCCTGACAAACTCAAAACTCCATTAAAAGGGGGAAGCTGGAGTTTTAGCAGTGGCTTTTGTGCAATGAGAAAGACAAAGAAATTGGTTTAATAAAAATGGCACATTGGAACTCATGGGACAGAAAGGACCAAAGTCCACAGTGCACTAAACACCCTCAGCTCCCACTTTAAGAATCATGTTTTTAAGCATGACCTCAGTGTGGGATTGGATTTTCCTCTCAGTTAAGCACAGTCTCCAGGGCTTGGWGGAGACAATGCCTCCTGGAATGCCGACAGCAGCTGCTCACTCCAGACTCCCTGACTCCCACAGAAAAGGAAGGGCAGGTGCTCAGGAACATTCCCAGCCCCACCACCCTGGACATCTTTGCTCAGCAGATCCCGAGGCCCCAGCCCTGAGCTCCACCACTCCCAGCTTCCACTCTCTCCTTATTCCAGAGGGATTCCAGAGTGCACCACCTCTGCACACACAGAGTGTCCAGAAAGACCCACTCAGGACAAGGGAGGAGGGGAAAGCCAGGATAGTTCACCCAAATCCTACACACCCACACAAACACAGGCCTTCACATCTCTAGAGTTAATTCAAGCWCTCATCTCCCCAGGCTTCTCTTTGGATTTTTCCCTCCCCTGTGACATCAGCTGGGAGGTTGGAGCCCAATCCATCCCCTCTCCACGTGGCTGAGCATCCTTGCTGTGCCAACTCCTACACAGSAACTGAAARAAGTTTCCAGCTCCYGGGGCCCTTTCACCATTAACATTTYSTGTGACCACAAATACTTTGTCTGCTCCAACACAGAGGTGCTTTTGGCAAGGATGAGACAAGTAGGAAAGAGGGACCTGATTTTACAACTAGGAATCTACAGATTGCTTGTTATTCTCTGGAGTAATTAATGKCCTCCTTGTCATTCCTTTCACACACAAAACCACTTCCCTTCTCCCCAGGCTACTGCAATGACTCCACTCCAATGCAAGAGCTCAGGTCAGATTCATTACTGCACAATTGCATTTCCCTGTGACCCTCCTTCCCAGGCTGGGAAATCTTGCACCAGTCAGCTGGAGCAGTTCTTGWCTGGGTGCCTGGAGGCTGAAATCTTCCCATTCTGTTCAGCACAACTGGAAGGGGAGTCAGAGCTGCTGCTGGAATTCATTAAAAACAGCTGCAAAGGGAATGCAGRGCTGGGGAGCAAATGWTTGCTTTTTTGTTGTTTTGTTGCTTTCTTGAATGACATGTAACACCTGATTGTCCAAGAGAGCTGAGGCAGTGGATCCTTGCTAAGACAATGCCAGGAAAACCAAAAAGCCAGGGATTGTATTCCAGGTCCATGCAAGAGCACCAGGGAAAACTGAGCCTGTGCTGAGGGAACAGTTTTGCTTGGAATTGCATTGTCCAAATAGTGTGTAACCACTGTAAACAGAGAAATCTGAGCCCCCCAGTGAATCCCCCCTCCCCAGCTCCRTGTTSTWGCTTTCATCTGGGTTTTATCATCCCAAGAGCCTGTACCAAAATGAGAACACGCGTGGCCCCAAAAGGATTTCCCATCCCTATTATTATCCCTTTTTTTCCCTGCAGGAAAAGCCAGGAATTGGGAATAGGGAAGCCTGGATCTGAGGAGGAAAAAGCCAAGCCATTTGCTAGARGCTGATTGTGAAGCAGAGGTTTGGGGACTTTGGCACAGATGGCAGGAGCCCTTTCTCCACTCCCAGGTGGTGCAGCACATCCCCAGGGCAGAGCCAGCTAATCCAGCAGGAAGATGSAAATTCCAGGGCCCTAATCCCTGGTACAGGACGTGCTCTCACACAGCCCTGCTGTGTGGCAGCCATGTCCCCTTGTGATTCACTCAGCTCCTTCCCACGAAGGAGGGCCTGTTGACAAAGACAACATTTGGGTTCAAAGCTGCTGTATTGGGAGCTGCTGAGAAAGTCAACCCTGAAGTACTGCATTGGTACAAACCAAGGCTGGCTCCTTTGGAATAAATGGTTCAGTGATTTTCAGCAGGTGCTTGTGAACACAGGGAAACCAAACCTTGAGCTGTGCAGGGTAACACAAACATGCACAAGTGCAAACACTTGAGTGAAAATACTTACAGAGTCTATGATCCCCTGCAGGGCTTCAAACCCATCGTTCACTGGGAATACRTGATCTTTGCTGTCAGCAATCCGAGCCAGCTGACACAGTGGTGAGAGGAGAAATAAAACAGAAATGCAAAGAATGAGATCAATTAGCCAGCAGGCAGCAAATTAAAACTTCTCCAGATTAATAYGCTTGCAAATAAAACKCTCACTCAACCACTCTTTCTGRATTGCTACTATATTATAGTTTATTWAGCAGTAAAATGTTTATCTTGTTAGTCTGATTGACTTTATAAAGCTCTATAGCAGGAATCAGAAAAGACTAGGAGACAAGACAGAACCTGGCTTTCTCTGGTGCCCGGGGTCTAATGATCTTTGGCACAAAGGTTGAACCACAAAAGTTGGACTTGATAATCATGGGGCTCTTTTCCAACCTTAACTCTTCCACAATTCTTTGAAATTATGTGCCATGTGGAGATACAGGCCTGATTSAGCTTTCCTGTCAGGACAGAGGTTTGATTACTGACCCTATGTTCAACATCAGAAAGCCAAAAAGAAAGAAGCAGGGAAATGAGAGGAGATATTTTCTGAGTGGAGGCTAAAAGGTATCAGAGGAGCATCCAGAGACTTCCATGAGGAGGAAGAGGGGCCTTTATGGGGTGGTGGTRAGGTCGGGGAGCCAGGACATCACCTCAAAGGGCTGCACACAGGTTCTGCTGCCAAAAGCACACCAAGGGTTAAGACAAAAACCAAGCCCAGCTCAGCAGTAATGAGCTCTCCATGCATCTGCTGGAGCAGACTCAAGTTTTAGTGCAGCAAGGCCGGGGTTTGTTCCAGCAAATCTCCCCTGGCAGAGGTACCACCAGCCCAGAAGGCCTTTCTGGAGTTTCCTGTAGCTCTACAAGCTGGAGACAGCAGAGCAGCCACACATTCCTCCCTAAACCCACAGGCTCCCCCTTTGCAGCTGCTGCCACTCAGAACCCTAGTTCCCCAAAGCCCTGCTCTGCATCCTGACCAGCCTGGGCAGCTCTCCCCTGCCTGCTCCTGGAAGGCAGCAAAGCCCCTCATTGCAGGCTGGCTGAGCTGCAGGAGCTCTGAAAATTAGCTGGATGTTTACAGCCTCCTCAATTCATTCCCCATGATCCTCCTCCTCGTCCATTCTGGGACTTCAGGCACAGTCATCCAATTCCAATTAATTTCTTCACCATCTAAATGCCTTCAAGTAGCAGYTGTCTGAGGTCTGCTGCTTTAGATCTGGTCTCTGTGCCATTTTTATTCCCTCTTTGTTTTTCCTGTGACTTACCCTGCATTATACCAGTCTCTGAGTTTGATTCAAAGGAGATYGTTTTAAAACAAGTTTGGTTTGACWCCTTTTTTAAAAGCTGAAAACCTGGAAAAAGTCTTTCAGCCWCCACTTCTGTGCAATAGGACTGTGCAAATGCTTCTCTAGTATTAGAAAAATGTCAGCTGTGACTGTGTGAAATATAATTCAGGGACACACTAACATTCATTTGGTAATGTTTGAAGTCAAACAAAACACTGTAAAATATTTGTAAAATATTTTAAAAATATTTGTAAAATATTTGTAAAATATTTATATTGTAAAATATAATGAAGCTGTTTGCTTTTTACAGCATAGTTTTGCCCTGAAAGAAAAGCTGCACTTATTGAAGTGTTATATGGCAATGCTTCAGTTTACGGGGAAAAACATCCCCACAACTGCAGCTCAGGCCAGACAGTTTGCTATTCTTCATGTTTTTTCCTCCCTGCTTTTCTCTAGCATTAGCAGGGGTATCTGGGGCAGGCAGAGGGACAGCTCTGCACATCTGCAGATTCAGACAGAAAGGGGCACAAAGCACCCAGACCCAGCCACTTCAGGAGGTCACTTTAAACAGGCAACAGAATGAGAGGAAAGCCCTTTGAGAAGCCTGGAGGAGCTGATTCAGGGGTGGGTGCCGTGCCCAGCCTTTGCCAAGCACTCAGTGCCCACCAGGGCTCCTTTACCTGGGTCTCGTTGAAGTCTTTCACACCCACACAATACACGGTGGCTCCCAGGTCCCGCGAGCGATTGGCCTGGAACAAGGAGAGGGGCATGGCATGGTCACCAACGTGATGGGATGCAGGATCCTGAAAGGACCTAATCACAAATTTACTATTTCTCTGTAAAATGAGCAATGGGGGAGCTTATCAAAAGAGGACTTCAAAAGTTTTCCTCCCTGATTCTATAAAATCAGGTTTTATATGCTGCTAGGCTAGCTATTCTTTAGCAAAGAAACTCCCAAGGTATTTGGTAGATTTTAAAAACCTAATTAATTCACCTTTCTAGCTCCTCCAGCTTCCTAAAAGATGTCAGGTGGGCTAAATCAATTTTCATCATTTAGGGCATGCTCCACTATATCAGTAACCTAAAATGCTTTCATGTTTCCTGTTTCAGATGTGAGTGCCTGGCCTCATGATATCCAAAGGAGATATCCATATCTCCATTCCATCTGCCCTAAAACTGTAGCATTCCCAGTGTTTACACAGCATCCTCAACTAAAGGGAGAGCATCCACAGCTTTGATTTTACTGAGCTGTTTCATTGAAGAAGGATGCATTTGCTATTCCAAAGGCAACTCTTCCAAATGCTTAAGTACAAATTTAGTAATTTAATTATATTTCAGTAGAACAGGAACACCTGACCTGAGCAAAAACTCCTTCCCAGAAGAGTAAGTCAAATTCCATGGGAAGACTGTAACAATTGAGTGTTGTTCAACAGCAAAGTAATTTTTTTTCAGCAGAGAAACATCATTCCAGTTTTACACTGAAAAGCTTCAACCCAAACAACTGAACCAACTCACAGTGTAAGTGTCGAGTTCAGGATCTCCTTCCACTGGCCCACAACTGTTCCTCCCCAAACCAAAACAAATATAACACTTCTGACCTTTCAACTTGTTCATTCACCTCTAAAAACAAACTTGTTTTCTTGTGGATATTTTATTTCAGAAGAGAAGAAAAAAGAGATGAACTGTGAGGAGGGGAACTGTAGATTCAGGACATTTGCTGGAGCAATATTGGTTTTACTCTACGAACCCCCTCCTTTTGTTGTTATTGGATTTAATGCTGCACTTTGGGCAGACTGAGAGGAAAAATTCTGTCCATAGCAAAATTMATGCAAAAATATAATCTTCCAAGTTTAGGTCATCCTGGTTTGTTTGAGTGACAAGAGCCAATTGGTTCATCTCCTCAGGGAGGACTGTCCAAAGGGCAGCAGAAGGAACATTCTACAGCAATGCTTTCAGTGCTCACCCCACTGTTTAACTAACACTTTGCATAGTTTACTAATTTAATGAGGATGTTGAGAAGAAGTGCTTGAGTCCTGGAAATACTTGTGGAAATGTTGGATTGGATGATCTGAAAGATTTTCTGATGTGACAGAAAATCCTCTTTCTGCAGTTGTAACTTTTTGTGAGAGAAAAAAAAGGGAAAGTGAGAATATTCAGCATTTCCCAGAGCAATCCAGTAAATACTGAAACTTTTCAGCTGTGAACTATTCCTTCTCCTAGTGTTTATTTTTAACTGAGAGTTTTAACCCCTCTCCTTTCCCAGTCTCAGGTGTGATGAGTCAGAAGCTGCTGTTGTTAATGGTTATCCTTAAGATTCATGTCTGCAGAGCACCAAAATGGAGTTTTGTCACTGGGAAAAAAGGTTTTCCCTATCTCTGCATTCCCAGCAGCAAGCCCAGACATTTCATTTTCTCCCTGAGTCCAAATGTGTAAGTCACTTACCTCCCTCTCCGAGTAGAAAAACAGATCTTCGTGGAGTTCTCCATCTGTCAATGCAATGATGACACTGGCAGTTCTGTAACCTAAATACACAAATCTCTTCAGTCCCTTGGCTTTGGTTGTGTTTGTTAAACCACCTTAGCAAACCCCCTGCCAGCATACTTTAAGGGCATAAAAATGGTCGTATTTCAGACCAGTGAGTTAGACCACAATCACAAACCCAATGCAGTTTGTTCCTACTTAGTTCCTGATTTTTATTAATGCTGTCAATTCGAGAAATCCAGAGGAGTTTTTTCAGCTTTTGACAAAAGGCTCAATTGGGATTTAAACAGAGATGGTGGGAAAAGGGCCTAAAATCTTCAAGATTCCCAAGTAGTGTGTCAGAAACATCATTAAAACTTGCWGCCTTCCCTTCCAAATCAGAAAGTTTTACATCAATTACAGGGAAGGAAAGGACAAACATTTTCCTAATTGTCTGCACTTACTGCTGATTTGAATAATTGCTGACAAAAAAGTCTTTTGCTTAACAGCCTCTCCATGTACTTGTGTTTCAGAAGGAAGAAGGAATGGTTACCTGAGTCCTCCAGCAAAAGGAACAAAATCAGGTACCAGACTGTTTTGGTAAGAGTGGGCACCTTCAGCCAGGCTGGCTTCTCACTTTGGCCTGAAACACTTTCATTGCAGCTCCAGCTCCTTAAAGCTCCACTTGTTCTTTTTCCCTTTCAGGAATACTACCCTGACTAGCACCACATTCCTGCAAGAATAGAAGCCACCCCCACCCTTTCCATGGCATTTCAAATCTGTTAAAGTTATCAGTCAAAAAGGAAGAGAAAAAACATTCAATGRATCAAGAAAGTCTCTCACCGTGAACATTTTCGTAGTAAATCTGTTCACTTGCCTGAAATTAAATCAGAATATTATTAGCAATGAATAAATAATAAGACCTTGTGAACATCTACTCACGCACCAGAAAGAAAGGGACAAAGGCAGTGAGGATGTCACATTTGCAGTTTACACATGAGCTCTGCTTTCWGACATCTGCTTCACAGAGAGAGGTTCTTGCTTGTGGTTTTGACTGCGGCACTGCAAGGTCTTGTCAGTCAAACCAACCCCAAGGCCACTGATAATGTTGTCTCCCACTTTCCTCTCTGAAAATCCCATCCACTTTCATCCTTGRGAAACATCCTAGGCCCAATGCTAAATATTCCCCAGCTCCTCCAGATCAACTATTCGAATTGCAAATAAACCAACATCTTTGTCAGGCACCTGTGATTCTGCTGTGTGTTCACATTTCAGTGTCAACAGTGATGGTGCAGCATTTTCAGCAGGCAGACAGCTCAAACCCCTCTCAAACACACATCCAGGACAGGGGTGGAAGGGTGTGCAGGAGTTCAGGTTTAGAGAAACTCCTGAGCTTGTAAGATATATAAAAAATATGCCCTGAAGACAACCAGAGCAGGCAATGATGTCTGCACAGCATGATTTGGCCATCCCATGTCTGAGCTGTGACCCCACYCTAACAGGACAGGACTGACAGCTTCCCCCTCTTCCTGGACACAGAGCCACTGGCACTGAATGGCAAAGCCTTCYCCCTTCTCTAAGCAGAAAAGGCAGCTCTCCCCAGAAAAGCTGAAGGCAGAAATAAAGACAGCAGAGTTTGCAGCTCCAGCAGTGAACCCTTACAGGTCACTGTGCTCATTGCAGTGAAAGGACATGGTCCCACTCACCCACCAGAGTCATTGCAGTGACAGGACATGGTCCCACTCACCCTCCAGAGTCATTGCAGTGACAGGACATGGTCCCACTCACCCTCCAGAGTCATTGCAGTGACAGGACATGGTCCCACTCACCCACCAGAGAGTGATTGCAGTGACAGGACATGGTCCCACTCACCCACCAGAGAATCATTGCAATGAAAGGACATGGTCCCACTCACCCAGCAGAGTCACTGCAGTGAAAGGACATGGTCCCACTCACCCACCAGAGAGTGATTGCAGTGAAAGGACATGGTCCCACTCACCACCAGAGTGATTGCAGTGACAGGACATGGTCCCATTCACCACCAGAGAGTCATTGCAGTGACAGGACATGGTCCCACTCATCCACCAGAGTCACTGCAGTGACAGGACATGGTCCCACTCACCCACCAGAGAGTGATTGCAGTGACAGGACATGGTCCCACTCATCCACCAGAGTCACTGCAGTGACAGGACATGGTCCCACTCACCCGCCAGAGTCATTGCAGTGACAGGACATGGTCCCATTCACCCACCAGCTCCCTGTTGTTGCACAGCTCCCGAGGAGCAGCAGACACTGTTTAGGCACTGAGCCTGCACTAGTTACCCTCTCAAATCCTTCATGCATGTACGTGTCACCTCCTGGCAGCACCTTCTGCAGCTCCTCCAGGCCCTGGCGGATCTGCTCCCTGAAATGAAAGCAGGCACTCTGTTAGAGGCAGGACCAAAGTCATCAGCATATCCTGGCAGCCAGGTGAAGGCATGCAGGACACAGCCAGACACAGGGAGGTGGGGAAAAGTTAACCCTATGTTTGCATGGGTAAGATAAGTGTGGGTAGATGCCTCTSTAAGGATGTGGAACATAAAGTAGTTGTGCTCCCTGTGTTCACACTGCCTGGGGAAAGCATCACAACAGCACCATCTCCAAGGTCAAAATCCATATATTTCATACATTTCACACATTTCTTCCCAAATAAATATTCCCTGGTCAAGCTTCAGCAGCTGACTTGCCCCTGGCTCACTTTTCTCAGATGTTTGCTGACTTGACTGTGCAAACATCATCACACAGCCACAGAAAATTACAGTCTCAGACCATCCTGGCAATGCCAGTTTATGTGGACATTACATCTTCAGTTCCTGAGCTGACTCAAAGGCTGAAGCATTTCCCAACAGCTTCTTGGGGCTCAGGGTATCTGTTTTAATTCTTTTTTAGGAGTGCCAGGCACAGTGCCAAATCAGTTGAAGGCTGTGTGGGGTGGACAGTCATTTGTTGTTCTAGTGAGTGGCAGACATCAGATTCTGGGAGCCAACCAAGCACAAGCCATGAATCTTTAACACAAGATAAAACCCTCCAGTGTGTGGGGTGTATCTGAGCAAACTGCACAATCTCCATGGCAAAGGGATGAAGTCACTGCAGGCAGGACCACAGGGGCATGCCAGGAGTCAGTTTGGTCTCTGCATTTTGTAACTCCTTCAGGAAGCCCAGTTGGTGTGATCACATACTCCGAGCTCACGCTGTGAGGCTGATGGCAGCAGGGCATTGACACTGCTCAGTGTGCACAGCAGTGACTCCCTCAGGGAACAAAGTCTGCTTTTGCTGAGGGCTGAATTATCAAACCTTCAAGAACCCATTTTGTATCTGTAAGATCCCAAACTAGTTAGATGCTATCATAAGTTTCCTCCTCTCAGACACCCATGCACATACCAAATCAAAGCTGGATATAAAATAGAGCATTTCCTGTAATCAAAACTATTTTTCAGAGGCAAACACTGAAATTTTAAAATGCACAGCAAAGCTCTTTAAAATATGTCAACCCAGTCCCATTAGATGCACAGAGTTTTTCCAAAAGGAATGCTCAGCACCCTCAATCCTCACATTCAGATGCTGATACAACACACCAAGGCAGGGACAAGGCAAGGGAAGTTCTCCCACTGCTCCATTTTCCCCAGTGAGAGAGGCCAGTGTGAACCAAAGCACCAGCACACACCTTGTTTGTCAGTGCCCCAGAAAAACCCAGCAGCTTTCYCCTCAGCTGGCTGTTAGACTAGCACCGTATCAATATCCTGTTCCCAGTCAACATTTCTAGGACAGCTGGATAAATATGGAATACATTTCCACATGGAAAACATTTCAGTCTCATAGCTGAGAGCCTGAGCACAAAGGAGATCTCTGCAATGGGGTTTGYTCATAGGGTGGGACAGAGCATGAGGCAAGGAACAGGTTTTCCTTTGGCACCCAGTTAAATAAATCAGGTTCATTCTCTTGATCCCAATAGTTGCAGTAAATGGCAGGAGATGCTGAGGCTGGCTGGGTTTAWGGACATTTTCAAGGCTGGTATGTGTGTGCACTGATCTGTAGGAAGGCAGCCAGTTTCCTCCCCATTCCTCCATGGCAGCTGCTCTGGTATGTGATTTCAGACATCCAATATGTAAAACACATGCTGACTTATAGAGTCTACACATGTGTTACATATATTTTTGCTCCACGTGGCAATGAAGTTAACAGAGGAAGCAAGAGCATTTTAAGGACCTCATCCACCTCTCTTTGGAAGCAGAATAAAATAAAAAAAAAATCCATCCCATAGATTGTACTGGGATTAACTTGGGAGTCTGTAAGGGGGAGGGGGCAGGAACAAACAAGGCAATCAAACTGGTATTGCAAAAAAACACACACCCTTGCAATCCATCCCAAACACTGTTTGCATGTGACATACTTTCAGACCTCAAGGAAATCACTTTCCCCTCTACCCCAAGAGTGTGGGTGTCACCTCCGGCTTTCAAGCCTGTTTTTATGGGAAGGGAGTTTCACCTCTTTGTTTGCAGAAGAAACTCCCAGAGGATGTTCCAYAGGCACTGAGTCTCTGGTTCTCTGACAAAATCCTGAATCTCTGGGGAGTGCAGACTGCCTCAATGAACCCAGTGAGAGCTGAAACCTGACAGCTGACACAAAGACATTTAGAAGTGGAAATTAAGAGGGCAACCTCTGCTTTGAAAGACCTTAATGCATTCTAATATGTGAGAATGGGCAAGTGACTCTAGCAATGAGTTGAAAAGCACAGAGGTGCCACAGCACTGTTCCCAGKGGACTGGAAATCACTGAGCAAGAAAGGTGAAGGAAGCTACAAGGACACAAAAGCTGCTGGATGCCTCTAATCCTCTTCTTACCTGTCTTCTGTTAACCTCATTAGAATTGTCCCTCTAGTTGAAAAGACAATGAAGGACATCCTCAACTGAGGGCTGGAGGAGAAAAAAAGGTAAATTAATTTAGTGGTCCAGAGCAGAGCTTACTCTGTTTGTAACACAATCACACAGGACTCTATCATCCCMGTTATAACTCAACCAGATGAAAGACACAAGTAGGCAGGAAAATGTATTTTGCCCTGGGCCTTCTTAGTTGAGGAAAACCTTGAGGAATGCTTGTAAAAGATGTAAAGAACACTTGCATCACAACCTTAGGATAGCTGAATCAAGAAAGGTTTAAATGCATCCTGGCATCACCATGGAGATGAGGAAAGGCTTGCTCTGTTTATTGAAACACTTTCCACCCCCTGTCCCAAGGGATTCCTCATCCAGTCTCAAGTCATTCTGAGCCTGAGAGCTTCAGCCACAGGTTCTCCCTGCAGACCCAAACTTCTGTACCTCAGACAGCAGCTCAGAGACAGGAGGATTCCTTCCCCACACAAATACCATTTGATCCATGGAAGGCAGGCAGGAATAAAGGGAGGAAGCAGCTTTTCTCCTCCCATTTCCCACAGAACAGAAACGTGGGGCAGAGCAGTCAATGGATGAGTCAATGGATGATCTGAGAAAAGCATTGAGAGCCCTTTCTCCACCACATCCCCCAGTGGGAAGCAGCAGATGCTGAGACTGAGAGCCACTGGCACCCCCTCCCCAGGGATCCTCAGCCCCTCTTACCTTATGAACTTGCGGGCCAAGTGTTCCACAAAATGATAGATCTCATTCCAGTGGTGCAGGACACTTCCTGATCTAGGGAAAAAYGATTAAAGCACATATTAGTTTAAGTTTTCCCAGCCATATGTTTTGTCCCATATTGCTCAGCGAGGCATTTGCTTTTACTTTGTTCAACACTCACTGCCCATGCTCTTCCTTTAAAGAGAGATCAAACTGTAATTTACATTTCCTACTTAACTTTAAAAAGCAAGAATAATTCACACTCCATGCGAGCCGACCCTTGGTAATAGCATATGGCAGTCAGGCTGGACCTTAACACAYCCTCAACCAAATAAACCCTATGTGAGTGAAGAGCTGTAAGAGCTGTCTCTGCACAATGTTTTAGATTAATTCCACCCACTCACTTCCAAACCATTACACAGAGCTTTCAACCCAAGTATATTCTGAGAATTACATGCAGTTGGGGGAACAGATTATTAAACTTCTCCAGTGTTTCCACTGTGCCAGAGACTACCAAAAGTAAAACACCTTTGTCCACATCTCAATTGCTCTGGTTAATTCTTTCACACCTCAGTTAAAGACAAAACAAACTAATTTCGCTCCTCAGGAGAATAAACCATGGACTATAATGGGATTGGATTATTCTTCTTTATGTTGTAGGAATGAGGAAAATATTATGTTAATCAGAATCTTTCAGCATGAAATACCCCTTTGGCATAAACACTTCTATGAACACTGGAATATTAATATTGGACAAAATATTCCTTCCTAAAGTTGGAAAATAAATGTGTCATCACTTATTTAATTCACTGGGTACAAGTAGAAATATTTATAGGGGAAATAATCATTCCAATTTTAACAGAAACTTCATTGGTCTGTCTGAAGCATGAGGAAGAAAAGATTAATATTTGAGATGGTTTTTCACTTCACAGGGAGAAAAAGCATCTGACCTGTTGTGTTCTGCCTCAGGTGTGAGAATGCCAATGAAGAGCCAGGACAGGYTCCCCCAGGCTYGTGGAAGCAGCACAAGCACACAGAGCTGATGGTGTGGGGCACAGACATTTCCTGCCTCCCTCTCCCCATACGTGGCTTTCATTCACAGCCACTCAGGAGCAGCCTTGGCTCCCTCTTGCTCCATGGCTCCCGATTCTTTCTCTGTTTGACCCCAAWGTGTCCATGCAGTGAGGGGCTTTGCTCAGCTACAAAAGCACCTGGGCCCTGGTACTGGAAGGAGCTGGCAAGCTGTRCTTTCCTGCAAAGTACTGCACAACACAGTGACAACTTCAGTTTCACTTGGCAAGGAGCTTGGCCAGCCTGAAATGGAGTCCTCCAGGGTGTCTTTCCCTCACTTGTGGAACACAGAATCATGGAATCCCACATTGGTTTGGGTAGGAAGGACCGTAAAGCCCATCCAGTACCATCCCCTACCATGGGCAGAGATATCTTCCACTATCCCAAGTTGCTCCAGGCCCCATCCAACCTGGCCTTGGACACTTCCAGTGATCCAGGGACAGCCACAGCCTCTCTGGGCACCCTGTGCCAGAGCCTCCCCACCCTCACAGAGAAGAATTTCACCCAAACATCTCATCTAAACTTGTGCTCTTTCTGTTTAAAACCATTGCCCCTTGTCCTGTGACTCTGTGCTGCATAAAAAGTCCCTCTCTGTCCTTAACCCCCTTCAGGCCCTGGCAGGGGCTCTGAGATTTCCCCATGTCCTTCTCCTCTCCCTGTGACCTGGCCAGCTCTTGCTGCACAAAGGGCTCCATTCCAAAAGCATCATTTGAGGGCACCCCCTGCTCTGAGCACACTGGGGTGGATGGCACAGCACACGAGCAAACACTCTCAGGGCTCCATTGCTGCTTGTCTCTGTTTCATCAGAACAGGACATCAAACRAGGACTTGTTCTCCACACAAATGTGTGTCCAAGAGGACTAAAGCAGCACCAGTAGCAAAGGTCTTGCTAAACCAATTAAACCACAGTCAGGGGGAAGATCRGTGCCATAGGAAATGAAGGGTGATGAACATTGGCACTTGCTCTCTGGCAGAAACTTAAATCCTTCTGCACCCAAACAATAAATTGATGGAACAGAGACACACAAAGCTCACCCCCAGGTGCAAATTCCTTTTGGATGTATGCAATAACTCTGAGACCTTGAATATGACAGACACTCCAGTCCCAGCAATGCCAATGGCTGAAATATTTCCTAGAACTGACCTGGAAAATAAGTATTGATTGTTTTAGATGGTGAGGCAAAAAGAAAGGCCTGACTTTATAGCAAGGGTTGCATCAGTCTCCAGAAGTCATAGAAAGCCAAGGCTTGTTAAATATCARCCAATTAGTCCTTACTTCAGTGAAACATGCTGCTTCACACCACATACCCACCGCTCAAAAAAGACACCTCAGTAAAATTTCCCATGTCTTCTGACCCATCTGGCAGCAGACACATGAAGCTGGGACCAGCAGCCCCTGACCATCCCCTCCCAGCCATCAGGTTAAACAACCACACCACTCTCCATGTTAAGGGAAATCTCTGGCAGCAGGACCCTGCCCTGGAAGCTCCATTAGCCTTGGAAAGTCAGGCTGTTCCCCTCTGAATAAAAGCTGATCATCCTTCCAATGACTATTGCAGCTGGGAAGGACACYCAGACACGTCAGGTATGTAGGTCATCACACTAAATCTGACACTTCCYATGGCTCTGAAGTCATGCATTTTTGAGAAGAGTGTTTGCCAGAATAAAGCTGAAAACCCAGTAGCTCAATTCAGAGATGTGCCAGCCCACAGGTCCACAGCACACCCTGGGAAGGGTTTGCCTTTCCAGTGCTCATTCTGCTGGTCCCAAATGGTTTGGGCAGTTTTTACAGGCAAGCTATGCTTTTCAGTTCTTCACACAAGTACAGATTCAGCTGCTGCTGCACCTCCTCCCCTTCCTCATCCTCACTGTACCCTCCCACTAACAGTCCCATCTTCCTGCCCTCTGGARCACCACAAGTTACAACTCTTTGTTCCAGGAGATCTTCCCACTTAACATACCTGAAATTCAGGAGCAGCAGAAGGTGAAATATCTGTTTTGAAGAAGATTCTTACCACTGCTACAGTCATAAAACCAAATCCACACTCACCACAAAAGGAGGATGATTTCTGCTCAGTTCCCCAGGCACTGGACTGGGATGATTGGAATCATCTGCAACCCAGAGTGAGCTGTAACAGGGGCCCAGAATGAATGTTCCCACTTCTGCTGACCACACATTGTCCTTTCCTGCACAGCAAGTTCCCACCTGAGCTGGACAGCTCGGTCTGTGTGGAGTTAATTCTCCTTCTGGTGTCAGGGGCCAGAAATGCTCAGGTCTGCACTTAGGAAAAAGTACTCCTTGTAGATAAAACATATCTTCTGAAACACTCCTCAGGCTTCTGACATTCTTCACTTGGCATAAAATGGACAAACCCAATACAACCAACCTTTCTGCAGCCAATACAAAGTTTATAAAACCAGCATTAACTTACAGTGTCCACCTCCTTGAGCTGTGTCATTCAGCAGCCACGCTGTAAAAGACACTTCCCCTGTACAGCCTCTCAYGAGGCAAGCCAGAACTCTGAGTAGGACAAGTATTTCTAAAGTCTAACTGTAAGATAAGAAATGCCAATTTTCAAATAGTTCTCTTCACAGTCCCAAAAGAAACAAGATGATCAGCAAGCCAACACTCTGCAGCTGAATGCTTGATGCTATAAACTTGCAATTTAAGAAAAGGCTCATTGTGAGGATGCCAAATTYTCTTCTGGAGAAGAGCCCAATAAATGGAAATTAAACCTAAGTTAGCCATTCTCTTTAACAAGCCTCTGTGGTCAACTCTACTGGCATTTTATACATCTAAGTGGAATGCAAGTGTTGAGAGACACAGTCCAGTGGCTCCGTGGCTCCAGCCACACTCTGGCCAAGCYCTGCCCTTCAGCAGGTGCCTTCCTCCTCACTGGGACAAGATACTCCAGAACCCAARGCTGCAACAACTCAAACCTCCCTAGACTTTGTTTTCCTTGCCTTTTTAGACTCYACTTTTCCATTTATGTTGTTGCACCTTCTCAGAATACCCATGGCTTTATTCAGCTCATGAACTAGAAGAATCACACAATCAAGCCCACACACTCTTATACCAAGACATCACATGAGTTATGTGCTCTGCAGCTGACAGAAGGACATAAAAGATACTTGATTCAGAGGCTGACGTTGATCCAAAAAGATCCTTAAACTTTCATGGGTTTGGACTAACTCCAAGAAGACTCACAGCTCTCAGACATGGCATTTACCTGAGAAGTTGTGCAGCATCTCTTTACTGAGCTCTTTAAAAATAACACAAATGAGCCAAAAGGTGTCCTTGTCTTTCCAAATCCTCCAGCAGCAGTTTTGAAAGCCCTCCGTAACTCACAGACATTTGAGAGGTGATGCAACTTTTTGAGGAAACACTATTATCTTGTGCCACACGTCACACAAGGCAGCTCACCAGGGACACTGCCAAACACTTGAGGTCACAGGATCTGCAGAGGTTCAGTTCAGAGCAGGACAAACCTCTAAACCCAGCTGCAGTCCAAGAACATTCTTCTCCTCCTGGATGGCAGAGGGTATGCAAAAAAAACCAACTAATAAACAAGTAGCCATGGACTTAATTTACATCCAGCAGCAGATAAAGTGCAGAGTGCTGCAGGCAAACAATCCTGGCTGTAAAAGAGCTTCCACCCATTCCTTTCACCAAGGAATAGTTACTGAAGATGCATCATTGGGTAAGAAACACATAGACAGATCCTGACTGGCAAGGATTTCATGCATGARCTCAGCTCACTGCACCTGCCTGCCCTTGGCAGAATTTGGAGTTAATTACATTYCTTCAGGCAACAAGACAGAAAATGAACAAATTTCTCCACCCTGCCTTGCTGRCGTCCCTCAGCCCTCATGTTAACATAGAGAAAAACCATCCATCCACATCCTTGCAAGGCCCTGCCATCCCAACAAAATGCACATCTTGCTCTGGATGGAGGCCTGTGATCCTGGAAAAGTCCCAAGGAATCACTCCCCAGGTCAAGGAGGAGCAGAGATGGTTTTGAACTCTTTCTACAGCCACTCAATGTCACCATTCCCTACTCCAGGCTTGTGCTCCTTCCCCTGAGAGCAGCTGGAACATTCTCCAGCTGGGTGAGAGCTGGGCTGAGCTCTGCTCCAGGGCTCATTTCCCTGGGGAAGGAGCAGCTCCTGTGGCTCAGACTGTCTGCCTGTCTCCATTCCACCGTGGCCCTGTAGTTCCACACTCTGAGTGTAAATCTGGACTCAGTCCTGTTTAGATCACAGGAACTACAGCTGCTCAAGCTGATGCCTTAGGATTTTTAGTTTCTCTRTTTTCATGCATCTGTATTCTTGTACTTCCCYAGTACAGCACTAAAACTACTGTTCTTTCATCTTTAGACAAAACAATCCCTCTCTGAGCCTGAATCCAAGGACACCTCRCTGCCYMAGAGCCCCAAAATATGGAAACAACAGTGAGTTGGGGGGGAGCAAGTTTGGGGTGGTTGACATCATCATTGGAGAAWTAAGACCCATATGTTAATAAGGCAGAACTTATAAAAGGTGAAGATCTTGTGACCCGGTGTCCATTTTGGGTGTAGCCTCAGGAGGAGGCTTT